AAGAAACTGAGGCCACAGACCACAGGCCACAGTTAGATTTTCAAGGAGAGGTTGTCTTAACTTTTAGTCCAAGAGTAACAAATCAAAAAAAAAAAAAAAAAAACCAACCAAAAAAACCCCCAAAAAACATCCCGCATACACTGTGAACAGAAAGGGACTGGCCAGCCACTGACAATCAAATCAAAGCAAGTGGTCCCTGCTTGTCTTTCACCAACTACTCCTTTGATATCTTTCACTTTGATTCATGTTTTAGCTAGTTTCTGTGGAAATGACCCTATGCAGACCCAAAAGCAGCTTCTTACAGTAACAGCTCAACTGCAAGCCAGAATTTTAACCGTATTAGCTACCAGTCAAAATGAAGATTGGAACTGTGATTGTATATTCTCTAAACTGACAAAATTCTTCATGCAAATTCAAATTACTTACTCAATTACATTCACTTCAGAACTAATAAGCAGTTCTACCCTAACCATTTTCTGTTGTTAATTTGCGTCTCTTAAGGGTGTTCTCATTACTACAGAAACAAAACATAAAGGACTCCATGCACCATTTCAATATGTCTATTAGCTTATTCAGCAGGTATGAAGGTAGAGAGGTGATAGTCCTTTTAGCGACATAGCACACTTTAAATAAAAGCCAAAGCTTTTAGGTTAGCAAGCCACTCTGCAAATGACAAATTCATTGTTGAAATGGGTTCTGAAGACTCCGTTATCATGGTATCACCCTTCTTTCCCTCACTACTGTAAAAGATGATCCACGAAACTGACCTCTTCCTGCCTGGCAGTTTGTTACATTAAAGTCCCTCTTAGTATGTAGGCCAAGTGTAAGACAGCCCACGCAGGACTGTGTCATGTTTATGGAAAGAAGACTAGAGCACCTGGATTCTTACATAAACCTTGAAATTCTGACCACATGCTATTTTGAGGTTAACATCTATGCCGTTTTAATAACATGCACCAGGATAAAAAGCAACACCAGCATGAGACAACACTGTTCATTTCAGCAAACTTGAGAAGGGAAGGGTAAAGCAGCTATGACAAGAAACTCAAAGAGGCTTCCAAGCAGCAGCAGCGCGACAATTTGGATATCCACTTTCAAACCCAAGGTCAAACATTCTGTCCTTCCTTCCTCCCTCATTGCTTTTACCTTCAGAAGTTTTGCACTGGATGTTAACAGTCTTCCTCTCTCCAAGCAAGCAGTCTTCCGTTGTGATTTGGTGAGCTCATGACAGACAACAGGTGTCTCAAGATTTTTCATCAGCGCACTGTACAATATCCCATACAAAAGGACCCTCCCTATACTTTTGGTCTGTTTCTACAACTGATGCACTACAGGAACTGAAGCTGCATCTGCCTGGAAGCTAATGAAGGTTCACAGAATCAATAAAAGAGCTAACAAGAGAAGCACTGCACTGTTTCAGATTCAAGTTCTGGCCTGCTTTTGCGAACAAGGTCTATGCTAGTGAGTGTTTATAGTTTATAGAACTTAGTCGCTGACTAAGTTCAGTAGATGCCACCAAAGGACAAATACTAACGCACTTGAAATGTTTAAAGATCAGTATTATTTCTCACCTTCCAAAAAGAAGCAAAGAAAAATGCTTGACATGTTTGATACGTCATTTGCCTAAGAATATGCTCCTCTGTAATTTGTAGTAGTAGTAAACACAAAAAAGAATATTACCCTAATCTTCTCTATTGTGTAACAGTTGACTAACAGTAATTCAATAGACACGATCCTCTACGTTGCTGCTGCAAAATAACTCCCAGAATTGGGAGTCCCCTGCTCTTAGAGGCTTATGACTTCAGGACAGACAGACTAAGACCACAACAACAATACAGAAGAGGCGGCATTTGCTGAAGGAATCTGGTTTACTCAGATGAAACTTTAGACTGACAGCAGCTCTGAGTGCAGGTAAGTACAAAAGTCTTTAATGAGCAAGAAGGTTTCAATGACTTTCAATAACTTTTAAGCACTAAGAGAGAATATTTTTTTTAATTTAGGTGCCTAGGACATGGTATCCTATGACTTCCTTTCGAAAAGCCTCACCTTGTTGCATTTACTCTATGCCATAACCTTAAGCCCCTTGTACAGTTTTGCTGGTTTTTCCTCCATTTTCATTCATATCCACCTTAAG